TGCCCAGTGCCTATGTAGACATCATCTGCAAAGTGTCACTTCATGGCACTGGTGGTGTGACTCATTGCCCTTTCTCATCATTGTGGTCTTGTGAAAGCTACTATGATACATTCCTGGCAAAGGACAGTGAAGAGTCTTCAGCAAAGAGTGCCACAGGATACAGCAGTTTGCGGGCAGTCAGAGATCTCAGCTCAAGGCAAACAAGTGTTCTCTGAACCTCCAGGGCATTCAGGTGGGCTCACACACCCCTGAACAAACACACCCCTACCTCAGTCTGATATGTGATGTGTACCCAAGAATGTACTTACGGAAAGCTGATTTGGGTTCAGAGAGATTTGATTTTTATGCTAAACAAATTTCATGTAGATTTACGTCTGAAGAGTCTATTCCTCCCCAAATGTGCCTTGACTGGCTGCATTCTAATGTGGGCAAATCCAATCGCTGAATTCTCTCCAATCCCCAAGTTCTCCATACTGAGTTCTCCATACTGGCTCCTGGTGTTGGCTTGGAGCAGGGCAGTTGTCTCTTCTAGAGACTGAGCTTCTCCTCTGGAGCATGAAGGAATGAAAGACAGGGGACAGTGTCTGTCAGTCAGGAGGCTGTGGCTCCTGAAAGATCTCCAGAAGAACCTCAGAAGACCCTGCTTCGTGGTACCAAGACCTTATTCACCCTCCCTAAGCTTCCACTTTCAAATGCCAGTTTTCTCTATAGATGCAGTTCGTTTGTCATCCATAGAGTTATGATAGCCATCTCATTTGGCAAATACAAACACACAACAGGTGCTTAAAGTTGAATCTCCTGGGAAATGGTTGGTTGGTATGTGTTTGTCTTAGGTAAAGCCAGGCCTGTTCAGATGCAGAAAGGGGTGTGGCCTGGGCCTTTGAGTGAAGCCAGCTCCCAGAATTCATTGTGCCCACCACAACACCAATCCTGTGCTTTCATAGTGAGTCCTGTTCGCCTCGGTCCTAGAGTTAGAAAGAGTCCAGCTGCACAGCTTGCCTTTCCTCATCCCTCACAGGATGTTGCAGACTGAGTGGGCCCTGGGTATGACAAGTGGCTGGGTCAGAGCATGTCCTGGAAAGGTGACCAGAGCTGACACTTCCCTGGGGAACAGAGGCTCTCATCTCCATAGGATGGGCTATGTAATCACGTGGTGGGATGGGGACTAGGGCTGGTGCCATAGTTTTAGGAAGTCTTGATGAAAGGGCAGCTCAGCTGGATAACAGCCAGCATAGCTGCTGTGCCATAGCTGAGCAGATCACAACTGCTGAAATGTAGCATACCACCTGGCTAGCTGGGTGGCAGAGGTGGCTGCCTCCTCATCCATCCTGTCACCGTGTCCTTGTTATTTGAAGAGGCAGCCTCCTGTGCACAGTTCTGGGACTCCTGAGACCCTGGCTTTCATCTCAACATGCTTCTGGAGCAGCACAATCCAGTGTGCACTGCTGCAGTGGCCTGAGATGCAGTTAGAGGAGCCAGAACACATGCTCTCCTCACCCTGGTTGCCTCCTGTCCCTGTGTCTCTCCTCAGTCCAGTCACAGAGTTCCATCCTAGAACTCCAGTACAGAGGCTGGCTCAGCATGACACACTAGTGAGTGAATGGACACATGATAAAGTGAAAGCTTGCACACTGTCGTGGATGTCAGTCTGAGTTGGCTCCATCTCCTAGCATTTCATTACATTTATGATAAATAATATATCATATAATATACCTTACTCTATTCTATCATTTTATTATACACTGAGCATTATTTCAATCTCATGACAAGCCTCAAGACAGACACCAGGGTCCTCTTTTACAGGTACAGAAACAAGCACAAGTTGGCAGGAAGTAGAGATGCTAAGAATGAATGGCCCCAGGCTCTGTCACCCATGCACTTAACAGATTCACCTTTCTATCTTAGTCTCAGGTACCATGGATGCATGATGTCTTGCTATGGTCCTTGCTCAGGCGCCTGTATGGTGGCAAGGATCTATGTGGTCTTCTCTCCTCGTCCTCAGCACCTCATGCTCTTGCCCTGCCAGGACATCCCTCAGCTGTGGGTGTGGTGCCAAATCAACTCCTTCTCATCCATTCCCAAGCCTCTGCTTGACTTCCCTCTCTCAGACCAAGGTCCCTAGTATGAGCTGGTTGAATACCTGAAGTCACTAAGGCTGGCAAGAGCCTCCTGCCAAAGCTGCTGCAAATGCCCAGTGTTAGCCTCTAGTAGATGGGGCTTCTCCACCTCAGCCTAGTGTGACTCTGCTGTTCATAGTCTCCCTCTCCCCATCCCAGGAGATACTACTGCTGATGCCTCGTGAGCCTGCAGCACAGTCTCAACTTCAAGCATTCAGGGACACCGTGTCCTCTTCCAGGTCAGTCCAAAGCAGTTTTCTTCCTGCAAATAACATGCACCCAAGACTCTTGTTACCAGATATCACCCCCCCAAACTTCCCAGACACAGTGGTGGCCAGTTCTAGCCTATCCCATTCTCTTCCATAGTGCTCTCTCCACCTGCAGGCCCCTCTCTGTCCTCACAGTGCCTCTATCAGCTTCTGGATGCCACAGCATCCACCCTCCCCTGGCCACATCCTAGTCCTTCACAAAACACCCACACAATCTCTTTTAACTTCTTCCTGCTTCTTTCCATTTTACTTGACTCCACACATGGAGGGCCAGTTGCTTGGACCTGCTGGTGGCACTCAGGCTGTGTTGCTCCTGGACCATCATCTCTAGACCATCGGCTTCCATGGTGCATCTCTTTGCCACACAGTCATTGCCTAGCTGACTCTTGGGGATCTGTTTCCTGGAGAGGATGCCCATCTTGGCTTCTCATTCACTCTACCCTTCAACAGCTTCCAGTCCCTCAATGGCTTCCACTTTGGTCCATTGGTTCTTCCTTCCTGCAGCCCAACATGCCCAGAACCTTTGCAAGGGACTAATCCATTATAACTGGTATCATTCTGAGAAGATAGTAGGTCACAGACACACAGAAGGAAGAACACAGGAGAAAGTGCCATCTACAAGACAAACAGAAAGGCCTGGATCTTGAACTCCTAGCCTCCAGAATGGTGAAATAAACTTCTGTCACTTAAGTCACCCGGTGTGGGGTACTCTAACCCTGAGCAAACAGGCAGCTAGAATGTCACTTGTGCCTGTCCTATGCTATGGGGTATCTTTTGTTTTCTCCCTCACATCGTTCATTTGTTTGCATTGACATCTCAGCCCTAAGATGCTAGCAAGAAGACTCAAACTAGTCTCCTCATTTTCCACTTGGGAGTACAGACACAGCAGGAGAAGGCTGCAGCTGGGGTGGGGAATCCAAGAACCATTTAATATGGGGCAAATGAAAGGTAAAAACTCTTATGGGATGAATGAATGGAAAGCAGACTTTTGACCAAGCAGCCTTTCAGTCCTAGATAATGTAGATTGTGTTTTGAAAACTGGCAGCAGGCCTAGCCGTGAGATTTATGGCATACTTCTTGGCCTTCCTGGGGAGCAGTGCTCTCTGCTGTTATATTTATGGCCCTCCAGTGCGGTCCCAGCCTGACAAGGGAATGCAAATGGACTGTCTGCTAATAGCACATGCAGATGATATGGGAGGTGGCAGGATCCTTGACCCCAGGTCAGACAAGAGCCCGTCCCATCCAGGGAGGGGTGTCCTGGACCTAAGAATTGGCTCCTTCCCCCAGCTTCCCCTTTGCTAAGCTCTTGAAGTTCAGAGATAAATCAGGATGCCCTAACTGTGCTCTTTTGCTGTGTTTGACATAACTGCATACCGCCTTGCCTTTCTTAATATGTATCTTTAAGTTGGCTCACTGCTTCTTAAAGGTGACGTGATCCAAAGACAGCAGACAACAAGTTCATTTTCCTACCACCCCTGGACTGGTTGAGAGGAGTAAAGACAGCCACCAGAGCCTCTTCAGGCTTGGAGAAACATGAGGTGGAATTATATTCCCTACTTGGGCACTAGAGGGGGAGACTTTCAGGAAAGGGACTGGAGCTGAGGTGCTTCCAAATCCCCCATGTGCCTGTAGCCACCTGAGTTTGTTGTTGGTTTTTGTTTTTGTTTTTGTTTTTGTGGTTGGTTGGTTGGTTTGGTTGGTTGGTTAGTTGGCTGGTTGGTTGGTTGGTTGGTTGGTTGGTTGATTGGTTTGTTGGTTAGTTGGTTGGTTGGTTGGTTGGTTGGTTGATTGGTTGGTTTTTTGAGACAGGGTTTCTTTGGTGGCCTTGGCTGTCTTGGAACTTGCTCTGGAGAGCAGGCTGGCCTCTAACTCCTCCTGCTTTTGCCTCCCGAGTGCTGGGATTAAAGGCATGTGCCGCCACCACCTGGCCCCACCACCTGAGTTTTAGTCCATTAAATACTTCTCCAAGATGAGTAACAGCTCAAAATCAATGTGAGGGATGGGGCCATTTGATCTCTAGGTAGCAATGGACAGCAGGACAAGCTGGCCAAGGTAGGGCTTGGATGGGAACTACTACCTGCTTTTACTGTAAAGTTTGGATAGGGATGCCCAGGCCTGGTATATTGCCCTTACTGATGCTCTTGTGTCAATGCCAGGTGGCACTCATGCTCCTTGAGTGAGCATCAGTCTGCTTAGCAATACCACTCAGTCCCTGTGGCCTTGCTGACTTGTAAGAATTCAAACAAAACTGGGCAAGGTGACACTCAAGCAGCCTTCCATTTGGAAAATGGTGTTTTAATAAAATAAAGACAACAGGGGGTTTGTCACGCCAATACCACACCCCCTTTTCTAGTACAATAATCCTTGATGAGTCACATGCAAATTTCTTGTGCAACTTGTCACTTGCAGGTCAGTTTTCAGCATGAATGTCTCCCAGAATCCTTTATACAGACATCTAGTGGACCACAGAGACGCTCGGGGTACACAGTGCAAATCATCAGAGATTCCTTGAGGACTGTAGGGAGGCGAGCCCCCAAAAGCTTGCTCTGGGTATAGAGCCTAGGCTACACATCACCTTGATGTCTGAAGCCTGATGATGCAGACCCTGGGACACCTAGCTTTAATGCAGGTGCCTCCAGCACTTGTTTTCTCCTACCCATCAACGGACCAGCAGAAGATTCTCCCCTTCTCGTCTCCAACCAAGAGCTTAGTCTGGTTTCTTGAGAAGAAAAAGAAAAGGTAAGAGAATTGGAGGTCATGGTACAAGACCCACACATCCCAGCCAGCACTTGGGAAAACACAGTGTTTGGGGCTGTATCCAGGACATGGTGAAACTGCCCTTGTCCTGTCTCCTGTGATGCTAAGGGAGCCATAGGAGGAATGAACTCTGTGTGGACCTGAGGATGGGGTGGGAGTTTTGAGCAGAGACTGTTGCAGATCTGGAAGAAAGTTGAGGTTCTGAGGAGTTGGCTGAACTGCCCCTCCATCTCTCTGGACAGCAAGCATCTCACCCAGGAGGGATGTGGCCACACCCCTGGCAGAAGATTGGCATGTGAAGAGCTTAGCTCTACTCTTTTCTAGTCTCATACCCATCCCATGCAGGCCAGCCTGCCATCCAGAACACTGCACTCCCCACACCAGGAACTTCAGAGGGCTACTGTAGGCCAGTAAAAGAGGAAGAAAGGGTGGAAAGCCAGCTGCTCTTTAGACAACAACTCCCTAGAAGGATTATTGAGTCACCATGACAACTGAAATCATGACAACCCAGTGTCATCTTTGTGACTACTCTTCTTTGGCTAAGAGACTTCAAAAAGCATTTTTCATTTATATATAATGACATCACCAGCTAGTTAGAAATACTAGCGGGATTCAGGACAAAAGGACCTCTTAAGGACAAAACTACAAAATATGCTTCCCTACCATTTGCAATTCTCCATGAACCTATGCATATACATGAGATAGACATCAAGAGCACGTAAGGATTAACAATATGGGCCTGCTTGGGTACCTGTAAGTGACCTTCCTGGTTCTTTCTGATAACCTAAACCCAGTTGAAATGCTGGAACTTAACAAAGTTGGCTATAGCGCCCTCTGCTGGAGTCCTGGAGAAAGCTGGCTGCTCTTACCTAGTTATGGCCAGAGCTGTCACAGCAGGGCTTGCCTTGCTAGGCTTGCCACTCAAAGCAACACTGACGTCCAGTTCTCGGCTCAGGGCAAGGTTCTTGGCCCACTTGTGCCCTGTGGAAAGCATGAGAAACAAAAGTTAGAGCACCCAGTGGCTTTATGCACAAGCCCAGTATACCCATACATAGGACCACACAGATACAAACATTTATATTTGTGGTCAGCAACTTGTTAAATTGAGGGGGAAAATATATTTAATCTTGGCCTGTGCTGTTGCAAAAAGGGCCGTCCCAATTTAATTTGCAGGCTGTGATAGTTACATGTGCTGACGTGCCGCGGTATCCATTGTGTACCAAATTGGATTTGTGTATTATTGCTTTCTAAATTGCATGCCTAGTTCAGCAAAATTGTTCATCAGTGTTTACTGGCTTTATGCTTAATAAGATGCCCCACAATACCTTGCTGCCAGGGTGTAATGCAGCCTGTAATTGCCTAGTAAAAATAAATTACATAAAGTCTGCATTATCAACTTAGCTAAATCCTCTCACGCCCAACCAATAATTAAATGCTGAGAGAATTTTCTCAAAAAATATAACTCAATGATTGTTACCTCACTCATTCTAATGACTACATTTGGAGACAGACAGTAATTCCTTCAACGTGAAGGTGAGATAGAGAAACAGCAAGCGGGCATGTCCCTGGGAGACACTTCATTGTCTCGGGATCTGAACACTGCTGCACACCCCCAGTGGTGTTGAAGTGGCCACTTATGAGTGCAGAAGGTTCAGTGCTCCAGGGGCTACATGAGGATATGAGTAGGGAGCACGGCTGGTAGACGGAGACAGACAGTTGGAAATCCGAGCACACGTCCAAACATCACACTTTTCCTGAGTCCAAATCTAGGAGCTGCTTTCTGAAGCAGATCATGCTCTGGCGGTCTAGTTCTTACCACAAATGATGAATAAATGAGTTCCAGGGAGAAATTAGATTACAACTGCCCAAAATGCATATCCTCAACATTTACAGATCTCCGTTCTTGCCCCTTAAGACATTTGAGGGGGTGTAATAGCATACACACCAATAGGACACATATGCAAATATTCATGTGCCATGCTTCATTCTGACCCCTTTCCAACAAAACAGCTTTGAGCCATATGATGAGGGCTTCACGCTCCCTTCTCAGAGGCCTCCAGTGGGCTATGCTCACAAATTTGTTCTCAAATTCGTTGACTTCAACAGAGGCTCAGTCCGATTTTTTTTTTTTAACTATTTGTGCACCACCTTGTCATTTCATCCTAGTTGCAACCCTGCTCCTGCCTGTCAGTTCTGCAGGGCAGCTGTGACCTCAGGTCAGGGCAGATAGCAGGGGAACAATGTGGATCTTGGAACTCACTGTCAGCAGGAAACCATCTTTTAATTTCCCTAATGTCATCATCGCTATATTCAAAGAGAAGAAATTTTTTAGAAGTCTGAGGGATGAAAACTGTGGAGTAGATTTTTCTCTATTATTTCTTCATCCCCAGCACCCTACATGATTGGAATCACAGAAAATACCCTTAGCTAGCAGAAAAGAAGTAGGGCCACACCAGCTGTGGCGGTGGAGTTGGGTCTACAGCTTGGTCCCCTTCCTAGTCCCCAGACCACACAGCCACTACTGTTGGTGTTAAATAGAAACTGGGGATCCTCTGCCCTGCACTGAGGAACTGTGGGTCAGGAGCTGAGCTCACACCTGTGGATATGAAGGGGCAGTTGATCCCGAGACCTGTGTGACTTTCAGTGCCACACATGTGTAAATGAGATGTGCTTCACAAATAGCCAAGGGAAAAGGAACCCTGACCTGGATCCTCTGTAGGGCAGGAGGAAGGGAGGGAGTATGACTGCTCCTCCTCAGAAAAGCACAGAGCTCCAAAGAACACACAGCCATGTGTTTCTCTTTCACATTGAGATGGACTGACTCCTCATGGTCTCCAATTACCCTGGAGGAACTAGAACGCTGAACTGGACACAGCTCTTGGTTTTGTGATGTTTATGCTCTGACTCAGCCCAGATTAATAACAAATGCCTGGAAATGCTAAAGGAAGGGATTTTCAGCAGAGATAGAATATAGGACATAGAGGAGCCCCAGCAAGGGTCTGTGCGTGCTTGCAGAAGAACTCACAAATGGGTGTCTGGATGAATCAGGAAGGTATATAATACAGTAGAGGCAAACTAACTGAAAAATGGCCACTATATGGCCAAGGTAGTCCCACAGGGGTGGAGAAAGTCCCCTCCTGTGGATGGTCACTGGTCTGGGAGCTAGCAGGAGTACTTGGCAGATTGGGGAACTCTCCAAGTATGGTAAGGTGCTTCCTTCATTTGTGGAGCCCAGGAGAGACAGCTTGGCTTTGGGCTGTGATCTTCTGAAGGCGGAGATGAGGGGGGAGGATGTTTGCAGTGGAGGAAGTGATGGTGGCAGGGATGATTGAGTTGATGGAAGTGAAGCAGTTTGAGGTTGCAGCTTTTGCCTGTGTTTGCAATGGAGGGACTGGTGATGGTGATGATGTGATTGTATTTGAGTCAGGATGACTGTGGATGCTGTAGAGGCAGAAGTGAGAATGGTGACGAGCTTCCAGGATAACTTTGGGCAAGTTACTGAGCTTCTCTGTGCGTCAGTTTCCTTATCTCTAAGATGGGTAGCTTACTAAAATTCTACCTTGCAGGACTGCAGGGAGAAAGGGGTGATAAATGGGAAGGGATTTTGGCAGAGTGTTTCATGCTCTCTGACATCTTAGCCCTGTGATAGCCTTGGTAGCAGAGATGGCAGAAGGGTTTTGTATTTCAGTCTCATCTGCCACAATAAGAAGACTTTACAACCAAACAGTGGTCTTCTTATTTTTGTGCATATCACTTGGGAATTTATGTGATATTTCTAGCCCTAAATATATTCCAGCAATTCTGGGCTTTTTCAGTGGCTTGGGCTGAGTCCCAGGATGGGGCAGTATACTGTAGTAAGGCCCTGGCTGAATGGGAAGGTGGTATAATGAAGGCTAATGGGGCATCCAAGTATGGTAGATCTATCTCCTCATCACTGGGAGATACAGGCGGATAACCAGCTATATCCAGGTCCTGGGCTATGGACTCTGGTTTTCCAGTGCTGGTCCTGGTCTAGTGTTCTCCTCCCTGCTCTGCTATGTGGGAACACCTTCCATGTCACACTTCACTGTCACAGATAGAGTCACTCCTGCCACCATGCTTTCTCCCCAGTGATGGAAGGAAATGTCTGAAACCATGAGCCAAAGTAAACCTGAGCTGCGTCTGTCAGGCATGAGATCACAGAATGCAAAAGTAATGAGTACAGTCCCCATCCTGGCCGCTCTTTCCAGAGATTTCCATGGCTTCTCTAAGCTCTGGGTGGAGCCGCAGCCCTGGTGCCAAGGCAGGGAGAGAGGAGTGCAAGAGTTAAGCTCTTCAAGCATGTACCTCTGGGGCTTAGAGGCTCAGTGGAGGGCTCCTCTGTCACTGCTTTCCTGGGAACAGACATCTTCATGTCCTCTGTCTTCCAAATCTGTCCAGAAAAAAGAACATGTATGTCATAGTCATGTAGAATTCTCCTGTCTTCAGGGTCAGGGTGGCCCATCCCTATTCCCTCACAAGTGGTGTGTGGGGGGAGGTGCTGACAGATGGGGATGTGCCCTGAGCATGCGCTTCTGGGGCTATTGTCAGGAAAATGGTTATTTAGGCTTCAGCTCCCCCTGTGGTGGATCAGCCTGTAACAACTGCAGTTTGGCTTTACTCTCTTCCCCTGTCTTTTAGTGGGTATCCACCTCCCCTTTTCTGTAACCCTTTATCAGCTCTCTCTCTCTCTCTCTCTCTCTCTCTCTCTCTCTCTCTCTCTGTGTGTGTGTGTGTGTGTGTGTGTGTGTGTGTGTGTGTGTGTATTTGTGAGGGGGAGCATACATGCATGTATGGAGGCAAATACATACATGTGTAGAGGCACATGAACCCATGTATAAGCATGTGGAGGTCAGAGGTCAATTTCAGGTGTCTTTCACTCTCCTTCCTAAGTTTTAAAACAGGATCTCTTACCATTTCAGCTAGACTAGTGAATTTGCAAGCCCCTGTCACCACCTCCTAATGCCTGGATTTTATACACAAACCACTTTTTATTTTAAATCTAATTTTTACATGGGTGCTGGAGATCTGAATTCAGGTCTTATGCCTGAGCATAAACCCTTGACCCATCGCCCCTTCCCTACCTTTTCTAACCTTAAACTCCACCATCTATTTGTTACATTATCACTGAGTCAAGGTCTTAAACCCCACATCTATTTGTCTTATTGTCACTGATTCAATGCCTTAGTATTCTTATGTCATCATATCTGGGCCACCTGTTCTTGGGCTTGATCTAAACCTTGTGTGTGAGAGCCCTCAGGATGACCTTAGAAGGCTTTTCACCTGCCAGGCCTGGACTTTCTATCCTTTGAAGGCAAAACCAGCAACTGTTCAAATGTTCCTGTGCGTTCTCCAGCACCTCACATAACTTCGACTTGGAGGTTCCAGGAGCCCAGTCACTACACTGAATGAATGAAGGCTGAGTGTACAGTTGCTACTACACATGCTGTGGAAGACTCAAGGAAGAGGTACTCTTGGCTCAGTCACCCCAGTTCCTCTTTCTCATCTGGATTAAGATTATATCCACCAAACCTATGTCACCCATTCTTTCATCTTTCCTGCCAGTCTCAGAAAAACCAACCTGAGCCTTGTTCTGCTGATCTCATCCCATGACTCCAATGTTTCCCTCTCTTCTTGACTTCCCAAAACTCCTTTCTAAAACTCAACGTGTGTGTGTGTGTGTGTGTGTGTGTGTGTGTGTGTGTGTAGACACATGCCACATGCAGAGCATTTCACATTTTCTTCTCTTCTAAAAACTGAGTGTCCCCATGAAAAGTGCCTACAATGGCTTATATGAAATCCTTGGCATGATATTAAGAGTTAAGTAAGTGGGTAGATGGATAGGTGGATGGTTAGATAGCTAATGGAATGAATTAATGGATGAACAGAAAAAGGGACAAAAACTTGGATGAATTGTGGAGAGTCAATGGATAGAGAGAGAAACAACTAGGTATGGGGGTAGATAGATTAGTGGGTGGATAAGTGAACTGGGTTGATTCATTTTATGTATCTTTTCAGTATTGTGCTATAATCTACTGAACTTGACCATTCACCATTCATACCTTATAACACTTTATTATATGTGTGTATATGTATATATGTGCAATACTATATTCTCTCCATCCCCTGGCTCTCATTTTCCCTTTGCCATGAAAAGCACCACCTTTCCCTTGATTTGCTGTAGTGTGGAATATTTTCAAATTCCATATGCAGCACTTGACCCATGGAAGTAGTGAAAAAAATGAGATAAAAATGAGATTAACATCCGTGTAAACACACTTACCCGAACCATGCCATCCTTACTCCCCGTGATGATGAAGTGGTTTGCATCCCACGCTGGCCCCTCTACTATACAGCAGCATGTTATGGTTCCTTCTGGGCCCCAGGCTGTGGTAATGCTGGCCAGGGGTTGTCCATTGACATTCCACAGGGACAAATGGGCTCCAGCACAGGAGACAATGGTTCCCTATAGCAATGAGAGCTGGTTTTATTCTATGCAAGATTTACCAGCAGCTTCCACAACATGTGCTCATTCACCGAGTTTGCACACCAAAGTACCCCAACTTCACATCTTCTCCTAAGGCTTCCAATCTCATCAAGCAACTTACACATTCATAGTTTGGTGGTGTAGTTGAGATGTGGTGGAAACTAGGTTTTTCCAGGTTGGAAGAAACGGGTCACTGGAGGCATTTTAAGGGGTCTCTGCCCTCTCTGGGCACCCTATATCCTGGATGTCATGCCATGAGCTGACATGGCTGCCATGCCCCTTCTAAGTGTTGTTCTGTCTTGACACAGGCCCCAAGCAACAAAGCCAGCTGAGAACAGACTAAAACTTCTGAAATGAAGCCAAAATAAACCTGTGCTATAGGACAGTGAGCCAGGCTTTGGGATCCTCCAAGATCCTGATCCTTAACCACATCTTGACTTTTATAGAAGACAGTATGAAGGCTGCTCCTGTTTCTCTGGATAAGGGGCCTTTGATTGGCTGTCTAGCACTGCCTCCATGAAGAATTTTGGATTTCATCTAGTGGAGGACAGTATACAGAGGTGCCAATGACAGCAAGTGGTTCATAAAACTTTGCAATGTCCTTTCAGAAGTAACCCTCAGAGAGAGGGTGTCCTAATGTCACAGAAAAAGATTCATTTATATATATTTTTTCTTTTTTTGAGACAGGGTTTCTCTGTGGCTTTGGAGCCTATCCTGGCACTCACTCTGGAGACCAGGCTGGCCTTGAACTCACAGAGATCCACCTTCGTCTGCCTCCCAAGTGCTGGGATTAAAGGCATGCGCCACCAATGCCTGGCTTCATTTATATCTTGATCCTTGCTTTGGAATTGGCAGATCTTCCTGTTGAAACTTGTTGTACCTATATCAGAGCAAACATCTCCTAGTGCCCTACCTTCCATTGGCAAGGGATAGTTGGCACACTGGGCCTGATCCACATTTGGGAGTGATCAGCATATGTCTGTCCCTGGGTTTTTCTCTTGTAGCACTGTCTACCATACTATTGTGCAGGTTCAAAGACATGGTGAGTGAACCCAGACATGGAGAAATGAAAAAGGCCTCACCGAAACATCACTGATGGCAATGGCTGAGATCCCTTCCCGGTGGACAGGCAGGCAGGCCACTCGTGAGAGTTGGTCCAGGTCCCATAGGGTACAAGTGCGATCCTGGGAGCCACTCACCAGGAGACTGAAGGTGACAGAGGCTGTCAGACATGTGACAGCCTGGGTGTGTCCATACAAGGCCTAGGAACAGGAGGCATAGCCAGAGGTTATGAGAGAGACTTATAGTATAGCTATTAGTGGGCTGCCTTTGCTTCTAGGCCTTAGAGGAGGAAACAGAGATTCAGAGTGAGTCAATGACTTTACAGACAAGTGTGTGTGTGTGTGGGGGTGTCAGGGGAAGTGCATGTGTTGGCCTCTTGGTGGCATCCACTTCTAGGACCTGAGCTCTATCTGGGGAGAAGTGATGGTCCCTTTGTAGTAATCCAGTCCAGAGTGACCTTATGCTTTCCTGAATTCTTCTTGAATCTGAAGCAGCCCCTAGCACTGTTAGTATGCAAAGGTTTCAAATGGCAAAGTATATGCCCAGAGAGCAGCCTTGTCAAATCTTGGGTCTTAGTGGATATGCCCCCAGTTTTCTAAATCAGAAACTCTGGTGATGGAGTCTTGGAATCAGCATTACCTCTCATCCAAGAAATCTCATGCATACTCAAGTTGGTCATGTACTGCATTATGGGAGACTCAGAAACAAAGAAGTCCTTGAACCAGATTGGGAAGAAAGACTGCAGGACAACACAAGAACACAGCCCACAGAGTCAACTAAGCAGGGCTCTTAGGGACTCACTGAGACTGAAGCAACAATCACAGAGACTGTGTGGGTCTGAGCTAGGTCCTCTGCATATTTGCTATGGTTGTGTAATTCTGTGTTCTTGTGGGACGCCTAACAGTGGGAGTGGGGTTTGTCTCTGACACTTTCACCTGTTCTTGGGACCCTTTTCCTCATACTGGATTGCCTGGAACAGGAGCGGAGGGGAAAAGAGCCCTAGGCCAATCTTGAACTTGTAAACCTCCACTCTAAACTGAGATTACAATGCTAGAATTATCAGCAAGAGCCACTGGGTCTAACTAAAGATGTAGATCAAACTCAGGCTGACAGACTTGGTGGTAAACACCTTTAACCACTGAATATTTTGATGCCATAACACGTGACTTTTTTAGACTTGTGGATATGAGTGCATAGCCTGTGGTGTCATGGGGGGACTTCTCTTAGCCTTCATGTTTGGACCATTTGCTCTTGACCTTCAGGCTTGATCCATGGATGGCTGTGAAGACAACTCTTTCCATGAAGACAGCTTAAGGTTCCAACTTCCTTCTGGGTCTATTGCTCGTGGCTATGGTGAGGATTCTACTCTAAGCATTCCAGAGGGTACCCAGAAAGCCTGATGGGTTCTCTGTCTGAATATGCCTGACATTCCCTGGAATCAGCAGGGAGTGTGGTGATTGGCCTGGCTCAACAATGCCTAGAACTCTGGCCTGGCAGAGACAAACCGCTCACTCATTTGTGTCATCATTTTTTCAAAGCTGTCATTTTGCCTGATCACAGCTATTAAAATTTTTGTCACAAGTCCCATTTGTCCTCAATGGAGCCTAATGTGACACCAACCAGATGGTGGTGGCAATCTCTGGACATGACCCACTGAATAAGATTTGAGTTGTCCCAAGAGCATGGAAATAAATAGGGGAAAGAAGAGGTTTCATAAGAATTCTCTGATCTTCCAGAATGACCTGAGTCCAATGATTAAGCTCTGACAACTGATGATATGACATCTCCAAAGGACACGGGAAAAGGAACCCTGACAAATGGTTTGGCGCTTCAGAAAGAATAGCTCTGAGCCTGAGTGGCAACACAGGCTGCATTACAGAACCGAATTAGCCTGTGTTGTGCAGAAAGGGTCCGTGAGCATGTCAGGGTATGGCACTGCCTATATAGGCATAGTTTTCTGTTGTCCAGAAACTGCAGCATCAGGAGGCACCCAGCACCCTGCCATCTGGGAAGGCAAGAAAATAGAGGCAGAGCCCAGAAGTTCTAAATGTGCACCCAATGGGCTCTTTTCTTCATTCTTTTTTGCAGAATACATGTCAATTAAAATAACTTTGTTATATCATCTTATATCTAAGTAGCAAAATATAAATATAGCATAATAAAACAAAACCTTTCAAAGTTAATTCTCCATGATAATGGTTGTGGTGAGGTGGTGAGTCTCAATAAATTGTTGATGACATTGGAGAGCTTTAGAATAATTTTGGAAAACTCTATGTCGTTGCTCAGTAATTCTTCTCAAAATACATCATAAGGAAACAATTAGTCAGGAGCAAGCAGCATATATATATATAACATGTTTTCTGTGGTACTGTTGAAAATGCTTAAAAGTTGGAAATAACCTAATTGTCTAGTTTTAGAAGAAATGGTTTATTAAACCGTGGTATACTGACATAACAATTGAAATGTAATTTTATGGAAATGGAATCATCTGGAACAATTGAAATGCAAATTATACAGGCTGTAGAAAAATGAAAACAATTTGATAAGCTGGCTGAAAATGGAACAAAAATATCCATATAAGACTCAGAAAGGTATAAATATGCATATAGGGGTTGATAGTATACAAAAAAATGAAAAAATTTATAGGGGAAGCAGAGAATTTCTTATTCTTAAAGTGAATTGAAATTTGTCTTTAATGTTTCACATCTTCAAAAACAAACACTTTCTGAACTGTTTTTGAACCTATTTCATAATGACCTCTATGAATACAGGTTTACCCCCCTTGGTAAACAGGTCTCTGTTCCCAGCTTGCTGTGGTTCTGCCTCTGCTCACGTCAGTCCTTTCAAAAAAGTTCCCTTTTCTGGATCTATGCATTAGGAGGAACCACTTACTTTCTCTGTAGCTTTTTTTTTTTTTTTAACCCAGACTGTAGAGATAATGGTTCTCATTCCCTGGGCATTTAGAAGGTAAAGTAGGTGATGTTTGTGACCACACTGTGTGGGCAGCCAGGGAAAATGCCCTAAAGCATCACCTGGCCCAGCAGACTCACTTTCCTGGCCCTGGGCAACATGGAAGCAGCTGCATGTGTCCCCAGCATCCTGCACTAAGGCTGGGCCTCCATGGAGGTGCCTGCTCTGTCTGTTCATCAACTCTACCAAGGGATTGAAACCGTTCCCAAATGACAGCTGTGGATTGCCTTCTGCTCCTGTGTCCCATGCTCTGGAGAGAAGCAAGACTTTTGCCTAACTAAGTGAGCCTGGATGTGCTTTGCACCATGGCTGCCAGAGACACCACACCTATGAGAGGCACATACCTGCCGAAGGCGCAAGCCTTTCGGGCGACCTTTGACCAGGCTGAGCTCCCACACACACACCACTGCGCTAGCTCCAGAAGTGACGATCATCGTAGGGCATGGACACACAGCACACAGACAGGGGCCCCAGGCAGCCAGGTTCTCGAATGTCATCAGGATCTGTGAGACAGGGGGAATGAATGCTGACACAGGGACAGCAGACACTGAGAAACCAGGTCAGAGAAATAGGGAGCACACAGGTTCCCCTAGGGTGCCCAGGGAATGGGGGACCATGTTCTAGGTTCCATAGCCAGGCTCAGGTGACTAAATCTAGGCCATCCAAGACCTGTCCCCATGGAGGAGCTCCTACTCCAGCCAGTTGGGAGAGACAAGCAGGCAGACACCCTGCACAGCTACCCAGATGCTATAAACACCCCTGGAGTTGGGGTGGGGTGCAGCTCAGCCTGAGACAGTGGTAGGACTGGGGGGGTGCTAGTGTTGATGATTATGTCTGGCAGCTGGTGGGGCCACGTTACAATGAGAAGAGCTCATTGGATGTAGAGGATTCATTGTATATAATTGGATGGGGTTGGGGAGGAACCTGGGGAGGGAGGGTCTGTGAAAAAGGCAGAGACAACTGGAAAGCCAAAAAGTAGGGTGGGACCATTAAGCAGAGAGGCAGAGAGTGCTCTTGCAAGCTGCTAAATGTTCAGCCTGAGCTGTTCTCCTCTGAGTGGTGCCGGGGTGGTAGGCGGACAGGAACTCCCATCCAGACTGAACGAACATCTGGATGGGCTTTGTGCAGCTCCATGACCTGTCAGAGTTGGCTGTGAAGGTGACAGTGTGCTCTGCCAGCCTGAAGTCTACCCGAGAGAGGGTCAAGACCCCAGAACCCTTCCCTTCCCACCCCCTACACCACCTCCTCTCACCTTATCAGAGCCATAGTTCCCCAGGCAGCAACTGAAGTCGTCAAAGCCCCAGCTGAAGGTCCTGTTCCAGAGAGGTGGCAACAGCATTTTGTTCTTCTCCACTGCCAGGATAGTCTTCTCGGTAGGGACAATGTGGCCAATGGCCCCTTTTGGAGATTCTGACCCTAGAGAGAAAAGGTACATATCTGCTCCCCAGTGAGTATGGTGATATATGCAGAAAAGAAAGCACCCACTGTCGCTGGGCCCAGAGGGAAGACACTATAGAATAAAGAACATCACATGCACATGGCCTGGCCAAGAGCAACTCACCCAGGCTCTGTTACACCCCACTAGTAGCCTAGGTACCCTTTCTTCAGCTCCTCTAACTGGGACTCACACATTTCAGTGACTCTTATGCAGTGATACCAGAAGAAGCCCAAACTGTCTTTTGGGGCAGATGATCCAAAGCCACAGGGCTAGGGTGACTGTCCACCTACCCTTCCTGCACTACCTTGGAGGGAACCCCAGCATGTGGCCTAACTCCTACCATACATAGTGTCACTGGCTAAACTCTGGAAGCCATTCCTTGCCCCAGGTGGAATCCAGCTCAGAGTTCAGTTTGCTGATGACCAGCTGGCATCCCAAGCCTATTATCCCAGGGATGTCTACTCCTTCCTCCATGCAAAGTCTCTTGGAAGGAACAGAAATAATGATCCCCTCTCAGAGTAAGCTTTCCGGCCAGCACAGGTATGCACAATGTAAGAGAAGACTGTTCAGTGTGTATTCAATCATGGGACCTGCCCTCCATCATGGCAGCTTCTCTCTTGCCTTGTGCAAGTAGTTATGAGAAAACCACCCTCTTCCCAAGCGCTACAGTTCATACAGCCAGGAAGCTGTGGGGTTGGGAGTCACAGGCACCTGCCCCAGGATACACATCCTTAGCTATGAACTCTATGCATACATGCATCTAGGGGCTTGAGAGCAACAGAGGTGTAGAGCCTGTCATCTGTCCTTGTAGGGGTGTGTATGGAATGTGTTTGTATGTGTATGTAAGAGAGAACAGGGTGTGTGTGAGAGAAAGAGAGAGAAGGCCAGACAGACAGACAGACATGTAGGTCTTAGAAGTCAGGGTCTAACCTATAAGTCCTGGATACCTCCAGAACAGAGACCACCCTCCAATACCCATTGAATTTGGAGATATGGGTTAACCCTTGAATATATGTCACTATCATTGGTTGATAATAAAATCTGAATTAGCCTATAGCCAGGCAGAATAGAGCTAGGCAGGAAAGCCAAATGGAGATAAAGAGAGAAGGGTGGAGTCGAAGAGATGCCAGTGAGCAGCAGGAGAAACAAGATGTATTAGAACACAGGTAAAGCCATGAGACACATGGCAAAACATAGATTAATAGAAATGGGTTAATTTAAAAGAAAAAGCTAATTAGTAATAAGCCTGAGCTGTTTGGCCAAGTATTTTGTAATTAATATTAAGGCTCTGAGTGATTATTTAGAAGCAGCTGTAGGACAGGCTGGTATGAAGAAACCTCTATTTACAGGCAGCCATTACAAAGCCCACATCTTCCCAAGCCTGTGCCCTTGAACTCCTAGAGCAGTGGTTCTCAACCTGTGGGTCACGACCCCTTTGGAGGAGGTCAAACAACCCTTTCACAGGGATCATATATCAGATATCCTGTATATTAGATATTTAAATTACAACTCATAACAATAGCAAAATTACAGCTGTGAAGTAGCAACAAAATAATTTTATGGTTGGGGGTCACTGCAGCATGAGGAACTGTATTAAAGGGTCACAGCATTAGGAGGGTTGAGAACCACTGCCCTAGAGGAATCATCCCTCAAGAGAGAACCTTGGGGCAATGCAATCCCAGGTAATCACCTTTGACTGTGACTTGAGAAGGTCTCAGCGCTGGCAGGTTGTGAAGGAAGGACTGTGAGTGGCCTGGGAAGCCTGTGGGGGTGGAGGTATCCTTTCCAGGCACTGGAGGTTTCCCTGTGGTATTCCTGGATGGGTGGGGTTTAGTGAAGATCTGGAGATATATACAAACACACCACACAGGTCATTAGGAGGCTGAGCCTTAGAGAGGAGCCACCACCATGCGCATCACAGCTGTGCCTTTACTCTGGGCACTATCAGGGCTGCCCTTCCTCCAACAGAACTGGAGTGTCAGCAGGGTCCTCAGATGTTATAGATGAAGAGCCTGATGCTCAGAGAGGGGCCACTATATTCCCTAAGTCATAGGACAAGCTCTGCTGGTTGCCAGTTCTCTTCTCTCTCAAGCCTCCTGGGTAAAAGTTGTCCTTGCTGAGAATGTCCTTAGGAGAGCATTTTCAGCTGCTCGATATCTCAACTCAATAGGAAAAACAGTAGAAAATATAATAATAATATCATAGTATCTATCACACATGTCACAGAAGAGCACAGCATCTGTCCCATGTTAATGATGTCATCTTACCTCTTCAGGAGGTAAGTGGGTAGGGTTCTGAACACTGGGCATGGTCCTCTTTTTCCACCACTAGCTTCACTAACAGGATAGACCACCGTTGTCCTCTTTCCCAGGCTTGTGCTGTCCACACTCTTGATAAAGCAAGATGAGTGTCGTGGCCTGCCTTACCTACCTGCTTGGGTACCTGTCCAAAGTTGCTGATGAAGCCCAGGATGGTGCTCTTGATCAGAGGGTCACTGATGCTGCTGAGGTCTATTCTGTCACCATAGAAGTAGGGGTGGAATGTGTTCACCGCCTCTACAGCAGCTGGTCCCTGCTGCTTATACCCAAAAATTAGGTCTATCCAGTGGTGGAGGTTGCTACTGACAAAATCACTTTCCAGAGCCTGAAATAAAACCCAGAGAGTATGAAATCTCAATTGATGCTTTTTAAAAACTCAGTTCTCTAAATTTAATCCACTGTGTGTGGAATGTATTTGTGTGCTCATAGGTGTGTGTGTGTGTGTGTGTGTGTGTGTGTGTGTGTGTGTGTGTGCATATAGGGGCCAGAGCATCTGCAGATGCTGCCCCCCCATTTAAATTTTTTCTATTTTATTTTTCAAGGCAAGGTCTTTCATGGGCCTGGAAGTTGCAGAGCTGGCTAGACCCCAGGGAACCCCCCCCCAGGCTCTTTCTGTTTTCATATCCCTACCATTGGGCTTACAAACAAGCACAACACCCAGTTTTTATTATTATAGTTGTGTTGTAGCATCTCCTTCTGATTTGACTAAGTTTCTTTGAGGACTAATGATGCTAAGCACATGTTCATTTCCTTTAGCTAATCCAGAAGAAGTTGACCCAAGAAAGCAAGACAGGTATCCCCAGGTGGTCTCTGGGCTCCACCCTCATCAGTGTTTCTGGATGCAAGTTCAGTGGTCTCCACTGATGGAAAACCCTGTGGTAGGTGTCTATGGTAACATATTATTTATGATTTATTAAAGCTTGCCTGGAGATCAGAAAAGCAAAGCAGCTGGCCACTAGCTCTTACCACTACCTCATATTGAAAGGTGATCCTGGCTCCACCAAACCTTAGACTGCCATCTCAGAATGCTATGCTCTCTTCCACATGGCTGGAGAATCCTAAAATTGACTTCTGAACACCCTGCCCCTATCGTTTATACCTCTCTAGTACTGGGATTAAAGACATGAGCTCTGTTACTCTTTTAGACTGATTCAATCTCACATACCCCTGGGTGGCCTTGATCTCAGAGAGACCCTTCTGCCTTTGTCTCCTGAGTCCTGGGATTAAAGGTGTGTACCACCACTGCCTGATCTCTATAGCTTGAGGCTGACTTTGCTTTCTGAATCCGTAGACAAGCTCTAATCAATCATAAATAATATATTACCACAGGTGAGAGCTCCATGGGGTCTCCTAAACCATCTCTGAGGGCATAGTTCAGGGAGTGTGGGGCTGATGAGGACAATGACATGCCACCAGAGCAGCCAGGAAACATCAGACATGACACTTCCTGTCATGATGCCCAACACAGCAACCTAGTACAATCACAGGGAAAACCGGTGTTGTTTAAACATCCAGGAACACAAACCTCCCTGATACTGTCCCTTCCCTGGTTTCTCCAGACACCAAAGCCGCAAGGTTTGTCCCCACCAGTGAGACAGAAAACTACATGGAGCCTGAAGGGATGTTGAAGTACACATTGGGGTAGACCAGAGTGTCTCACCTGTCTATGCAAACTGATGAATTTCCTTGGGTCCCCATCAGCCCAGGGAGGGAGTTGCACATCCCCCAGTGTTGTTCCATCCTGCATGCAGCCTGAGTATGAAGGGAAACGGTAGGCATAAGTGAGGCTACATACGGTTCAAAAGCAAAAGATGTCTGAAACTGCCATCTCCTTGCAGGTTGGAATGTGAGCTGGATCCTACCAGACCATACTGCTTCCTGCCACTTCTATCTACAGAGCCCCAGTCTTCTTGTGTTGGCTCTATAGTTGGCATCCTTCATGATGTCCTCCTGGCTTCCCAAACACCACTAGAGCTATTCCAAGTCACAAGTCAGCTATTACCACTATTGGTGATCTTCATCACCACTAACAATACCTTTCACCTGGGGACTGAAACAACAGAAGATGCTGATGATAACCCAGTTCTTGGCACACAGCATCTTCCTAAGTCTTCAACCAATCATAGTGGGTCTTAAATGGCAAGTTCCAAGACAGTAAAAAGAGGAGCCTGGCTTCCAACTCAAGTCTCCCCTTTTGATCAGCTGCCAACTTTGAACAAGCTATTTGACCTCTCTGGACTCAGTTTCTCCATCTGTAAGAGTGAAGGTGCTGACAAAGCCTTGCAGGGCTGGCACAGGAGAATAGTAAGTGTAGAGTATACACAAAATAATACTAGCCATGACCAATGTTCAGCAATGCTCCTATTGTCTGGCCTGAACTCTCTAGAGCACTTATAGTGCAAGTTGAACAACATTCCCTTCTGGTCTCAGGCTTTCAGGCTGTGCCTAGCTAGCCTCATTGTCTCCTCACCCAGACTCAGCTCCAGGCTCTTCCTGGAGACAGAGTAACACAAGTACCCCAAATTTACAAACTATGCTCCTAACTGTTTCCCTTACAGGACTTCTCAGAGCCTAACAGTTTCACTTCTTTATTTGTTTATAGCTTAATACCACCACCCCTATCTGGCACATGTCTTTAGGGCAAGACACAACTGCCTGAGTTGCCTGCATGCAGTAGATGCTACGTGGTCACTTGTTCTCTCAATGACACCTGGTTGTCTCTGACCCTGCCATTTCTTCATCTAAGTCTGTCACATCTTCCTTGGAGAACACAGCTGTAATCAATAGGTAGAGGTGAACTCTGCCTGTTACTCCATCTCAGAGTTGTCAGTGCCTCTCTTACCTTCCATTGCCCTCCAAATTACCTCCCATCCTAGGCCTCACCATGCCTTCTGGAAATTGTTCTTTGTGTTTGTTCAGTTCTGCCCAGTGCTTGTCTGAGAACCCAAACACTGCCAAGCTTACCAAGGACCCAGGGAAGGTTGGCCGGCTGAACCAGGATTAGAGAAGCTTCAGTTGTTCTACAGCACTGTGGCCTCATGCCCAGGGCTGGAAACCCCATGAGGCTTTGTGGGAAATGCTCTCACCTTGCCTGAGTCAAGGTTCAAACCCTTGCTTGAAGGAAAAGGGAGAGGGCCTGAAGGATGTTAATACCTGCCCCCAGGTCTTGTCTGCAGCACCCATGGCTTCTCTTGACCTGGCTAGAGAGCTTACTTACACCCCCCTCAGCACATTGCTCCAGCTTGCTCTCACACAGTTACAGGAGAGACTCCTGGCCCATGTGCCATCTCCAGAGGTTACCCCAGGTCTCTTTAAGCACCTATGCCTTCTCTGAAGCAGGAAGAAGGCCTGACACATACTGGGCTGCAAGACAGAGGATGTGCCACCCAGCAGTCAGACACAGCAGAAATGAGGCTGGTGAGCCCAAGGTATGAATGTGGGTAGGCCGTGCTAGACCTAAATCATCAGCAAGGGTTCTAGATTGCTGGTGACTGTCTCATTACAGATGGAGACCTGGCATCCTCAGAGAAAAGCTACTGCCCAAGGTAGGCACTTGGTGCTGTCCTAGAAGCCTGAGACCCAGCCTCCTTCCTCGGAAGCCACTTTTGCAACAATGTTCTGTCAGCCAGCAGAGACTTCACCCCCAATGCACTGGTCCTGATTCAGTGACCTGGTGAGTTTTCCATTAAAGGTACTGATGAAATCAATGTTTCCCTTGAGACTTGTAGAAGAAATCCCAGGTTCTCTGATCTCAGGCTCACCAGCCTTTCCCACGCCATACTCACCAAACTCCACTGCATTACAGTTGGTTAAAAACTCGGGCAAGTAGAAAAATTCAGGTGTCAGCTCCCTGACGTCACTCATGTTCTCCTTGGAGGCAGACTCCCATGTGTTCTTCACACTGTGGAACATTCTATCAGCCACATCAAAACTTCCACCCTGTGGGAGAAAGGGTGACATGAAGCCACCTGTGTGTGTGTGTCTCCCTCTATCCATTCAGCCGCCAAGGAAGGAGCTCTGAAGTCAGGAATGAAGTAACACCTCCATTTTACAGACCAGAAAACTGACACCCAAGGTGTGCTGATTTCCCCAAGACTATCAAAGCTGTGAATGCCAGGACTGGGGTCAAACCTATGAGTACAACTGTAAAGGGCATGTTTTGCGCTGGCAGTTCCTAAGGAAATCTCTGGAACTGGTACAAATCTCTGGAACTTGGCCTACTGTGTGTGTGTGGGGGGGCAAAGGTTGAAGAGGACTCAGCTCTTCCTAGAGAGAAGGACCCACCACATACCTAAGGCATGTCACCCCTGGGCAACCTGGTAGACAAGGACTGAGTGATGCATTTTCTAATCCACTTGAGCCATAGGTCATTTTTCTGCACAGGGACAGGAACACTGAGATATCCGTCCCCAAGAGGTCTCAACCATAACGCATAGCCCCCACCCATGTCACTTTGCTCTGTGTTAAAATCGGGAGACAATGTCCACCATCAAATGGAAATGGAAATAGAAATGAAGTGGGGCAAATCTAAATAAATCTGCACCTAACGAGTCACTCATTGAAATGTATTAAGAGCTTTGTGTATTTAATCTGCAGCCTGAGCCTCACATCGGGGGAGATTGATGTCTTCTCTTGGTCCCATTTTTCCTTTTGCAGCTTTTATAAGTGCTGATGGTAATCTCCTGAGAAACAATATGATTTGGTAATAAAAAGATTACCTGTATTAAATAAAAATAATATATACATAGGAAATATTGTTAGTGCTACAAATCTGGTTAAAGATATTACCACAAAGAAAAATGTTATTTTTTTCACAGCTGTCTAATGCATTTTAGCAAAAGTAATATCTTTAAAACTTAAGCCTGTATTATTTATAAAGGAAGCAATAACTGATTTTCCTATTTCCTATATTAATAAATGTATTTGCATACATTTGTTTCAAAATTAATGGGTTTTCTCACTTCTGCAATACAAAAGAAAACACCAAATTCCCTAGAAGAAAAAGTAGAGTTGCTTTGTTGCTCGTATTGTGAGTATGTGGGTTGACATAAACTCCAGTGGTCGCTGGCAGTCAGTCTCAAAACCTGATTCTTAGGAAAACAGGCAGAGATGACAAAAGAAAGGGCAAGATGGGGAAGCACTGAGCTGTGTGGCTCAGCCTTGCAGAGTGACCACAGGAGGAAAGTCCACCACCACATGGAGTAAGCAACAGCAAAATGAAGCCTGGAGATGGGGAGGAAGAAAGTGCCAGGCAAGAGCTCCCCAGATGAGCTCTTCCCTCTTGTCCATCCTGCAGCTATCCTTGCATGCCATGAATAATGTGTATCCAAATGGCCAGCGAAAATAGGACATGAAGATCAATAACATAGCAACGTCTCAAAGGCAGATGATTTCTGGTGTGCCACCCAATGCTAGAGAATGCAGTGGAGCCAAGTTAAAGGCGACAGAGCTCAGAGACAAAAGGTTTACACACATGTATCACACACGTGGAAAAACACCAGCAGCATATTTTGAATATAGCAGGGATCATAAGATTATCTGAGGTATCTTGCTCATTTATATTAAGAAGTGCTTAGCAGTATTGAAAGATACAAATTAACAAATTAAAATTATGAGTGAGGCAGTAGAGAGGTAAGGACATGACGAGGGCAGTTTCGAACACTGTTAAAATCAGGGAAATGTTGATCCTTGCACAAGCACATAGATTATAAATGACTTACCTTGAAAAATAATGCACATTGCTGGAAGCAATGTATGTGCCTAAGTTTGCCATTGTCCCTGGATAAACCCTTTAGTCATGGCATTCTTAAACCCCTCTCTAGCATAGGCAGGGAGAGGAGGTCAGGGGGAAAACACTCAATTTTGACCCATACTCAGGAGAAACTCAGATCTTACATGTGTTCAAGGACATGTGATTACACAGGTAGTCTTTTCTATTAATATTTATTTTGTTATTTTTAATTATGTATATACACACACACACATACATTCATGTAAACACATTGCACTGATGCTCATGTTCACAGAGGCTGGAAGCAATAGATTCTACTGGAGCTAGAGTTGCAAGCAATTGTGAACTTCCCAGCATGAGCACTGGGAATCAAACTCAGGTCCCCTGCAAGAGCAGCACCCACTCGTAACCATGGAGCCATCTTTCAGCCCCTAGATATCCTTATGGAACATACTGAAACCCTTCCAGGAGGGACTGATGCAAGTCGGCCCACTCACATCTAGCTAAGGAATTAGAATGGTCCTGTGAGGGGGATGATGACCTGTTAGCACTGGAGGTATTTTTCTCAATGGTTTAGAAGTATCATGTAAGCAGTGCACTTGCATACTTGTGTCAGCTAATTTCAACCACCATCTGTCCATCAGACAGTGTGTCATGCTAGAGAATGCTGTGCTCTGGAATTAAGCTGACTCAGGTAAGAATTTCAGTGCTTACTTGTAGGGTGAATATGAGGTCTAAAATATCTCCCATTACCTATGCCCAAGTGAATGTGTATACGAGAATACAAGATATACCACCCCCAGGTGGCACA